CCCCAAAACCCCAAAACCCCAAAACCCCGAGTGATCTATTTAAAGATTCTTCTGATAGTGAATTTATTTAATTTATTTATCGATAAATCTTTCTAAATCTTTCCTATTAAGTACTTTGCAACAGACAATATGGATCTTTTACCTAAAGAACACAAACAATTTCAAGATGAAGAATACTGGAACAGATTCTTCGCTGACAAAAAGATTAATCAAGGCTTCGAGTGGTATGCTGCTTTTGAAGATATTGAACACTTGCTCAAATTAACTTTAAAGGATAAGGAATAGAGACTTCTTGTATTAGGATGTGGTAATTCACTACTCTCTGAGAAAATGCACCTAAAAATGGGTATCAACAAGATAACCAGCATCGATTTTGAGGAGTAAGTTATCAAGAAGATGATTCACAGAGAAAAGCCCATTGATTATCAAGTGATGGACATGCTTAATATGAGCTTTGAAGATGGTTCTTATGATTATGCCATTGACAAAGGTACTCTTGATGCTCTTTGTGCAGACAGATCTCCAGAGACTGCTTCTAAAGTCTGCAAATACTTCAACGAAGTGCTGAGAGTCCTCAATGCTAAAGGAGGAACCTACATTTGTGTCTCTCTACTTCAAGATTTTATTCTAGATGCCTTAATTTCATTTTTCTGCAAGGGTATGGGTAATGATCACTTTGATAAGCAAATCATTGATTTCAGAATCTAAAGACTAGACAAGAAATAAAAGAAGGGTGAAGATAGAGATTCACAGAACTATTTACCATTCTATATCACTATTAAGAAGACAGCTATCAATCCAGAGGATGCCAAGATGATTGAGTTAAGAGATAAGCTTTCAACAGTGATTTCTTATTAAGATAATTACATGACAAGGGCCGAAATCATTAATGTATCAACTATTTCTGAAAAAATCAAGAAAGAGCAAATTAATTAGATGCTAGTTCCCCAAATGAAAGAGCTTAATCTTGGTTAGAAATTCGAACTATTCTGCTATGACAAGAACAGAAAAGATCAGCTTAGCTCAGTTCCAAGATATACTCTAACAATAGTAGACTCAAATGATGCTAAAGTTCTAAAGAAGAGAACTTGCGCAGCTTTCATTACTCCTCAAGGAAAAGAAAGGGAATCCTTGATTTCAACTGAGGTTGGAAAATAAAATCTCTCATAGTAAGCTGGCTACAGTAGACTCATCATAATCACTCTGAACCACGGACACAAATTTGAATCAATAGAGACTGTTAAAAACGAACTCTCACCAAAGGTTCTTGAATTAGCTCCTAGTCTCTGTGCCAATTACAAAGAAATCCCATTCTTAACTATCGGTTCCGATATTGGTGAAAGAGGATCTGTATATGTTTCTCAAGATGGCTCAATTTTCGTAGAAGATCTTAAGGACGAGCAAAATAATATCTACAGATAAGTCATTTTCCAGAGCAAACCAGAATAAATCCAATCTGAAGTCTTACTAGTCTATAGAAACCCTTCTAAAGGTACCATCCCTGAGCATCTTAAGGTTCAAAGTACTATCGCTCCTAAGAAGAAGCAAAGAACTGTTGTCTTAAATCATGAACTTTTATGCAGTGAGTATCAATACTCTATGCTCTCAGGATTTTCTCTAGCTCCAAAGCTAGTTGAAAAGGATAATATAAGAATTTTAGTTCTTGGAACAGGAGCAGGTTTATTGCCAATGTTTTTAAGAGGATAGCTCGGCGAAAAGCTAAAAGAATTAGTGACAATCGATATCAATGAGGAAATCGTGAAGGTTGCTAAGGAGTACTTCGGTTTCGTTCCAGATGAAAAGCTAAAGTCAATTATAGCAGATGCCTATGAATATGTCAATAACTATAGTGGAGCTAAGTTTGATGTTGTCATTATGGATATCAATTACGAAGAGAGCAACTTAAATCTAAGTCCACCACTTAAATTCTTAGACTCTGGCTTTTTGAGAAAACTTTTGGTAAATTCAAAGTACTGTTTATACTTTCATATAGGATATCACAACAGCTGAAGGTTTCTGTACTTTTAACATTCTATCTTATGACAATGAAACAAGAGAAAAAGTATTTGGAATGATTTCAGAGACTCCAAAGTCATTTAAATATCAAATTGAAGGTGAAGAAGATGTGAACAGAATTATCCATATTGTTAAGAATGAAGCTCCAAATGAAGAGCAAAGACAAGTTCAAATGGAGAAGGTCTGCAAGGAATGGGGACTCAACAAGGGACTATGGTTGACTGAAATGAGAATCAAGCAGAAGATCGATAAGATTTTGGAAATAAAGTGATGAATCAAGGATGAGTCACTCTGACTTGACAACATATGAATTGAGATTTATCACATGAATAGCAATAATAACTTCAATAAACCATGAGTTTTATCCACTAATTAAATGTATTATATAATCTAAAAAATAAAGGCATTAATAGTCTATAAGATTCTTATCACATAACTTTATAAGTCATCAAATCCTCAGTATAAGTGCTGTCACTATCACTATTTATTCTAATAATAATAAATCCATATGGTTTTGGCTGCTAAAATGCCTCCATTAATATATTTATATCTCAAGTCATGAGCAATATCCATTAATTGAAAGTTTGTCTTAAACTGTGTATAAAATCTTCTTCTAATACTATCTGTTAGGAATTTTAACTATAGTAGGTTATAAAGTCTTTATTTCTGAGCAAGAGGATTATATGGATCAAGAGGCTTCTCTAGCAATCCAGCGTGAAGATACTCCTGTTCCTTGAATGTCATACTAATATGTTAATAATCTTTTCCATTTTTCTTACCTTGCAAATGATCATGTCACAGATGATCAAACTGTATTTTATATCATGTTTTCTCTAGTGGAAATAAAACAACAACAGCTTTCCTATTCTTGAAGACAATATGGGTCAAGTAATTCACTCTTGCAGTTCTTTAAATGGTGCTGATTCTGTCATTTTTTTTCTTAAATTTTTCCTTTTCCATGTCATGCAATCATCTTCCCCTGACTAATCATAGCTTGTTTCTCAGCAGATTATTAAGTTTGATTTTCCTTAGTTTATGGAACAGTAGAGCTAGATCTTTTGTCCATTAAAAAGAAATTTTCTCTCCTTATTCCAAAATTATTATTATATCTAAAATGTAATGTAGACTAAATAAATAAAATCAAATTTAATAGAGAATCATAAAAATGACTTAAGTTTAATATTCAGCAGCCAATCACAACGAATATGCATTTAAATTTTAACTTAATTATATAATTTGTAAAAGCTGTTAAATATAAAATAAAGAGAACCTTCAGCATCTCAAATAAGTTAAATGAACCGAACAAACTCAGTCGAACCAGCGTTCTCTCAACCCTTACAGGTTACTTACCATCAACTACTTCAAAACAAAACAAAGATTGAAGATGAGCTCTATCAAACTTAAAGATAGGTAAGTATTAGCAATAATATTTCAGATTTATACATGCAAATTTTTTCATTATATAAGGGAATGTAAATAGTTAAAATTTATAGTTAAGGAGAAAAGAGGGAGAGTACTTAAAGAAAATAGCAGTATATGAGTAAAAGATTGACTAGATGCAGGAACATATAGATGAATTCAGAGAAAGAGAGGAGAATACTAAATCTATGTATGAGAAAATTTTGTCCGCATTAAACAACTCTCACGATAAACAAGTAAATAATTTGATGCAATAAATGAATTATTCAGAACTAACCTAGTATTGACCTTGAGAGAGTTTAAGAAATGCTGATGCAAATGCAAAAGTCTCATTAGAATTCCCCAACCAACAGTGAAAAATCAATGAATTCCTCCTTTAGAAGAAGGAGATTTGAGTCGTCAATAATTGAAGCCAAGGATAAAGAGAAATAATAGATAGAAAACCTTGAGACAAGTTTGCAATAATTAGGGGATGCTCACAGTAGACTAAAGAGTCAACTACTTACTAAAGAGAAAGAAAATCATAATTTTGTCCAATAAATAGATTCTTTGAAGAAGCAGATTGAAAATCTTAACTTTGATCATAGTCGAAAACTAGAGTAAATTAACCTTGATAACCAAAAGAAAATAAATGAAATTGAGACTTTACTTAAGAAGGAGCTTGAAAAAGATATCCAAGTCTTAAAGAATAACCTTTCAAAAGAGAAAATTACTCATGAAAGCTAAATTTAGGCACTACAAGAGTAGATTAAAAACCATTAGTCTTAATTAAACAAGCAAACTTGCAACAGCAATAACATTGAAAAAATCAACTAAAAAGAAATGCTAGAGATAAAAACATTGCTTGAAAAATCTAAGAAGGATATTGATAATCTACTAAAGGAAAGAGATTAGATCATTAAGGAGAAAGATTTAATATTATAGAGTAATAAGGAGTAAGAATAGTAAATTACAAAAATTAAGAAGCAATAAACTAGCAGTCAGAATATTCAGAATGAAAGTATAAAGAAACTTAAAGATAAGATACAAGAATTGGAAAAAGAACTTAGTTTGAAAAGTGAAGAAGCTAAATAGAGCAATGCACAAGTAAAATAGTTGAAATCTTCTACAGCAATACCTTTTGTCGACAGGAAGAGTTCGGGATAAGGGTCTTTACTCCAGAATAGCAGTGTATCTAGTATGAATCAACTTAAGAATATTAACGTTGGCTCTAAGGATCAATAAATTTTAGTTGATATTTAAACGACAGAAAAAGTAAATAGAAGAAATGGTAATTTCAGGGTTTAAAATAGAAGTAGTAACAAGTCCACTAATAATAACACTTGTAACAACAGTAAAATGTTTACTCAACCAATAAGTGTTAACTTAGATTGTCCAGATTTGACCAATCCAGATCAAACTATCAACAACACTTAGAAGCAATCAAAGAAGGGATAGGAAAATGCTAAAAATAAACTAGAGAACTTGGTCACTAGCAATGGAAAAGTTTCAAGAAATTCAAATGGGAATGTTCACTCTTCAATGATCCATCCTTAAAGCTAATAACCAAATGCTCAGCAGCAAACTTTTAATGAAAAACCTAGAAATTAGACTCCTAATTATCGTTAATATATCAACTTAGATGACACCAATCCAAATATTAGCCAAATGCTATAAAGTAACAGAAAGAGAAATCCGCTAGATGATGAATCTCTCAATAACTTTGACTCCAGTGGCAAGTCTACGTATAAGTTAAAAAAATACATAAATCCCAATGATGAGTGTAGGAACTCAGATCAATATCAGAGTAGATGCAATAGTCATACTAATGTTGAATAGACAAGACGCCACCATTTCCTGGCATAGAGAACTTCTTCTGATAGAATGTATGATCCTTAACAAAGATTTGGCAGTGCCAATCCCTATGATCGATATCTCAATGAAGGTGATAGAGCATTACTCACTTCACTTGAGATCGAATAGGTAGTAAGAAAAATGCTAGATTAAGTGTACAATGAAAAGAATCAAACATTCTAAGGAACATTCAATGGTAGTGAAACTTAATAGATTGGCAGTGTATTAGTCCAAAACAATTAGTACCATAATATGTAAACTCCATCATAGAATGTTAGTTTCTCTGTCAGAAAGAATGAGTAACAGTAGTAAATGTTTAATAATAGTAAGTATAGCAGCTAGCAAAGTAAGAGCTGCATTACAATCGACAAAGAATTTTTAAGCAAATTGGAATCAAGTCTTAAGAAACTCGCAAAGAGAAATGAGAAAATTAAGCAAATAATGAAAGAAAAAGAGTCTCTTGAAAAGGAATGCCTAAAATTAAAATAAAAAGTCAAGAACTTAAAAGAGGAAAAATCTGGCTTGATCTAAGAAAGAGAGGGCCTGATCCTCATTAATAATAAAATGGAGTATAGACTAAAGCAAGCTCAAGTTCTACTAAATTTAGAGGATATGCAAAATCCAACTCACTTCAACCTTTAAAACCATCTTAACTCAAATAATAATACTACTATTTATGAGCTGTCGCACAATAGTAGCCAAAAGACTTTAGTTAAACATTATGCTAATCGAGATATCTCACCAAGTTAATAGAGTAATTTAACCCTAAACATTATTTAAGATTCAGTTGCAAACAATGAGAGATATAAGAATCCTCCAATGAGCTGTAGAGTTAACGATAGCTATGATGTATCCTTGAGACTAAATGGAGAAAATGTTTATGGGCCATAAGGAAAGAGACATATGTTTCATAATACATTAGATAAATCGATGCTAGACTAATCACTCATAACAATAAAGAGAGATTAGATGATGCAATAGTATCAGAATTAAAACCTTTAAGCTTCTTAATTCACCCAAAAAATGCCAGGGAACTAGAATAACAGATCATTCTAGAGCAAATTCTTACCATAATCCTCTAGTCAATAATTACCTCAACCTTAGCTAGTTGGACAACATTCTGTTAACACTACATTTAGAGGTAAGACGCCAACATTATAAATTAATCTCTCATAATCTCCTAATCAAGAGCTTTACTGCATTGGTATTTCAACATAAGGATAAGACCCTTAGGATAATAGAAAATCCAATAAAACTGCATCCAGTGAGAGAGAGGATTCGAGCTCAGTAATGACAAGCAGGAACTTTAGCAGATCTACTACGAATTTACTTTAGAAAAAATCATTCAGCAATCATCCTATTTTAAATGCTTAATAGCCTAATACCAATAATAGTAGACAGCTATTTAAGTATTAAAGCAATAGAGATCAAACTCAAATTAAAAGTAGTTCAAAGAATCAATCATACATGAACTCAAAGCTTTAAAATATAACAAACATGAGCATGATATCTGCCTAGAACTCAAATTAAAAAAATCCATGTAATTACTCTAGTATAGGAGCTCATGAGAATAATTCAATGACGAGAGATAGAAGTCCACAGTTAAATCTGAATTAGACACAGACAAATTACTTGACAGGCTAGACCCAGATTGTAATGGGAAATTCGAACAGTATGAATATCTTAAGAAGACTGAATCCCTCAAAAGCAAAGGATAGATATTACACTAGTAAGAGAGGAGGTCATCAACAGGTTTTATAAATTGGAGATCCAAATAGATTCCATAATGTGTAGGCTTGCTACTAAATTGTTACATTTGATGAAGAGGATGACTATGCAATAGACGAATAAACTATTGAAGAAGATTAAAACTTGTTCTAAAGTTCGACATTCGATTAACTAAACCGTGAGTAAAGAAATGAATAACCAGAGGATGAAGAATACCCAGAAGATCTGAATACTGATGAAAATGATGCAGTTTACAGTTAGAATTCAGACAATTCATCAATAAACATTAAAGTTGTATAAGTTACAAAGAAGAATCAAAAGAAATTAAGAATGCAACAACAAAGTGAGGCTGATTCAACTACTGCTTAATATAATTACCCTCAGACTCAGAGGAAAAAAGATGAAGGTGGTTAGCCTAGTGATGAGAGAGACGAGGAAGAGGAAAGTGTGCAATACAAGTTATTGAATAACAGCAACTTTATACCGTCAATGCACTCAAGATATATAAATGATGAATCCTAATGATTAATGATTAATTACGACTTTTATTTGGCCTAACTTTAATTCTAATTACCAATGGCTCTATGGGGTTTTGGGGTTTTGGGG